AAGAAGTGAAGGAAATTAAATATCTAGGATATATTATGAAAAGTAATAATAAGGAGGATGGACATATAAGAGAGAGGGTAAGGAAAGCCAGGATAGCAATGGGGTGGATATGGAGCTTTGGGGAGAGAAAGTTTAAGGGGGACATAAGATGGAGAGTGAAGTTATTCGATAGCATAGTGAAGGGGATACTTTTATATGGGGTGGAGATATGGGGGTATAAAGAATGGAAGGAAGTAGAGAAGCTGCAAGAGAAATATTTAAGATGGATATTAAAGTTGGATGGAACAACACCGGGATATGTAGTAAGAGAAGAATTGAAAAGAGAGAAAATAAGAATTGAAGCAGGCAAGAGAGCAGGGTGGTTTGAGGACAAAATGGAGTGTGGAAAAGTAGGAGAAATAGGACAGAGATGTATTAAAGAAAGAAGAAGAGAGGAGAAAGAGAGGGAGGAAAAAGATTGGACAAAGGAAAGTATAGAGAGGCGGAACTATTTGTGGAGGTGTGGTAGAAGTGAAGAAGCACTACAGGAAGAAGGAGAGGACAAGTGGACCAGGATGAAAGACAGAGATACGGAGGTAGACGAACAGGAGAGGGGATTTAAAGTGAGTAAATCAAAGTCATGTGAGGAATACAGATGGGTACAAGGTATCCCAGAATATATAAGAAGAAACAAAAATAGGACCGAGGGAAAGAAAATACAGAGAGTAGCAAGATGGAGGTGCGGAAATGAAACGAAAGGAAATAAGTATTGGTTGAAGGATGAGGACAGAAGATGTAGATTGTGTGGATGGGAGAGTGAGTCAGTAAGACACCTGAGAGTATGTGTAGGTTTGGATGGAGAGAATGAAGATGAGATAGATGTATTAAACGAGGACGGGAGAGGATATGAGTGGATGGTGAAAGTTGAGAGAAAGAGAATGAATGAAAGAGAAATAAACAAAGAGAATGATTGATAAATATAAGGAATCAAGTTGTAATTAAATTGTAATTAAGGAAGTTATGTAATCACAATGGTGGAAACATTAATAAACAATTATATTTATTATTATTATTAATTATTATATTTGTTTACATGTCATATTTGCTTCTGCAATTAAATTCACAAAAACAATTTTGTACTGATAATTCCGTACATTTAATTGTTCAATTAGATATTTTTACAGCATATTAAATGAAAAATTCAAGAAACGAAAAACTATAAATTTCATGGTTACAATTACTTTGCAAAACATTTGGTTAAGCTATTTGTTTATATCTCATTGAGTTTTTATTCCAGATTTAAAAAAAAATCAGGTTTCCACATCAATTTATTGCTGAGAAAATATAAATTTAGCAAACTTTAACACACGAAATCAAATACGCGCGAATCGCCGAGCGGCCCGATCTTCCCCACTCGACTGTGCACCGGCTTCTCTCCGTCCGGTACACTGTCTCGCTCGCGTTCTTCAACTTTCCAATGGTTTTAAACAAACTTTTTCGGCAGCAAAAAATTCAAAAATTTTTCAACAGCGAATTCAATTCTTCCTTAACAAATTGGTGCCAGACGGAACTCTTAATCTTAAAAATTAGAGCCACAGTAATTTTTTGAAAAAAAATTGTTATCTCGACTTCTAATAATCGGAGGATAATTCCCTCGTAATCATTTTTTTTTAAATTCAGTAGAAAAATGTCAGATGTCGAATGCTTTACATTTATTTGATATGATGCATATTAACGAAATTATTTCTATTTTTTTATACGGAAAAAGATATCCACTTTTTAAAGTCGTTTTATACTAGTTTAATAAAAAAATCGTTCTGTTATCAAGTGCAACTCTTGAAGAAGAAAAATCACTGTAAATTGCTGTGCAACTGCTCAAAGATGAAGAAATTAAGTTTTTTGCAGATAGGTTTTTAGTGAACAAATAGCTTTTAGCAAAAATTAATAAACATTTCAGGCTTGTTCAGTGCTAGATTTGTTCGTCATTATGAGGGCTACATTTTACAAGAATTTCTAAACTTTGCGTTTCTCAATGAACAAAGAGCGAGTGAAAAAGTCTTTTTTCGGTGTTTTTTATTTTTTTCTTCCTCTAAACTAATAGATCGATTTTAATGTTCTACTCATTTTGTAGTTATTTTGATTACCTACATTTTTTTATATCGATTTTTTTTCATACATTCAATATCTTTTATAAACAAAAAACGTACTTTTTGCAACTATTCGATTTTTTTTCGCATATTTTCTTCATAAGTCTCGAGTCTCGAACATATGCATTTCTTTTCTGATGGCTTTTCGAGACTTTGGTGAAAAGAAATGCTGGTTTATAATTTTTTTCCGGTAAAATTCTACTTCTATTGAACTATTCTTGCTATTTTATGAAGGGGAGGCTTATATACTATATAAGCGCATGAAAAATTGTAAACAATTAAATATCTCGTAACTGTTACGTTTTAACATGATTTATACTATTCTGGATTAAGGGGAGAGGTACACTATTATTACAATTTGTTAAAACTTATATGTTATGTCAGATGCCTCCCGTCCCTTATTGATGCCTAGGGCCGCCGAGCGGTCGAGATTGCCGAGAAAGCATTTTCGATTGAAACAAGCGATTAGTGTGAGAAGGAGCTCGCTGTCTCGTTCACTCTCGGCGCGTCGCAGGCGAGCACACGGACATGGTGCTTATTTGTGTGTTACAGCGCCGCACTATAAATGGTTGAACTTATAAGTGTGGAAAAGTGACGACGGATCCTCGTGTGCTTTTCCTGCCTAAGATTTGAGCACATTAGCTCTGACTGCAAGAGTGTCGCACGCTGCGCTAAATGCGGTCAAAATAGATATTCTAAATTGGAAGAATGCGCACGTCATCAGCTTCCCTCCTCCCCCCCCCCCGCTGTTGTAATTGCGGCCAAGAACACTTCCCATCCCAAACTTTATGTTGCGTGCCATTTTGTTATTATTTGTGAAAATTAATTGTGAAAATGTGACTTGTCTCGTACTTATCAAAGTCGTAATTATTGATGAAAACTAAAATTATCTTGGAATTTTATATATAAAAGTAATATTTTATTCATTTCAACTGCTGTCGGACTGTGTGTTTCTGCTCGAATATAGGCTCACTTTACGTGTCTTTTACGACCATTTACCCAATTATCAAGGTAGGAAAGGAGAGTTTTCATCAATTTTTGTAAGTGTTTTAAAGTGATCTCGTCATCCAAATTGTCTAATTTAAAAATGGCATGCAACATAAATTAACGTGTTATTTCTCGCTTCTGACGCTACGATTCTAACATAGCCGCTGCGACTAGGACCTCAGGAGCCTTAACACTAATTACTTTTTCTATACGCGTTCTGTCTCTTTCACAACATATCTTTGACCAGATATGTTACAACTACGTCCATTAGCATTATAGGTGTTCATAGTTTTTCAAAGGAGGAATTTCCGTACAACACAGACGTCAAGCATGCTAAATGGAGATGGATGACTCCACAGGAGCATCATAAAATTAGTTCTCGAATTCATAAAGAAAACTTTTTTTTTTATTTTTTTTTTTTTATTTCGTGTATCCTCTGAAATATGACGTTAATTAGTAATACTTATTTTCACACTAAAACTTCAGTTTAATGAAATTTTCTCCACCACTATTACACTACTTATCAAATATACTTATTACATTAATGACACTATATATAGTAGTATATTTTTATACGGATTTCGCTTGCTGGAAAGCACCGAATATATAGCATAAATTTGCAGCGCCTACTTTGGCTATATGAGTACTTATGGATTCATAAATGAAACTAGAAACATAATAGAAACAGGAAACAAAAAATAACGAGCCATCCAATCAGAGCTTTGGAGTATAATATCGAACTTATATCCCAAAGCTCTGATTGGACGGCTCATTATTCTCTGTTTCTATAGCCTATTGTGTTTCCAGCTTAAAAACCAATCGGTGAATAGGCTGCATTCCGAAATCCATTTAAAAAACGTATTGCAACCTATTAGTTGCTGATTGTATAGACATCTAGAAAAAATTCTTAAAGCTTTACACATAAAATACTTTCTATGTGAATTTATAAAAATTAGCTTCTGTTAAAGTTGTATTTTTAATACATATTTTATCGGATAATAAAAGAGAGTGAATAAGAAAGAATTAAATTTAGAAAAATATGTACGCACATATAAACAAAAGATGGAATAAATAACAGCCCAGTACAATTCTCATCAAATATTCTTAAATGGATACTTCAAATTTCATTTCGTATTTTTAAACAATTTTTATTTTGGTAAGTTATAATCGTTCAAAGTTTGGTATATTTTTCCCAAATTTTTAGTGTACTGCTTTTTTTGGGAATAAGTATATTTTTGTATAAAGAACAAAAGATGATTACTTAAAGATAAGAATCGATTTACGAAAAAACCAATACATACAACTCACACACACACGCGCGCGCACTCGCACATGTACGTGCATACATACGTACATATTGTTTACTATATACTTACTGCTACAAGAAACAGCCTGTACGGAAAATATAATTTCTTTTTAATAGGCGTGAGCTTTGATGTAGAGAGAGGTATCAGCGGCTTTGCTAGAAATGCTACCAGCGATGTATTTGCCTTGACAGGCTGCAGTGTTTGCCTAAACAAGCGCACATTACATAGCATGCAAAAGTATAATGCAGCTTTGCGTAGCTCCGAGTGCTCCTTGCGATTTAACATGACAATTACAGAATTAAAAAAATACTTTTCTAAAAGAAAAGCTAGTGAGTATACACAAAAAATAAGATAAAAGTATAAAAATAATTCTGAACACAAATGTTAAAATAGCAAATCATCACTTAGGAAAATAAAACAGAGGTCAAAGGCAGATAACTAATAAATGATTATGTATAAATGCAAAGGTAAATAAAGGTAAAACGAATAAAATAAGAATAGAGATGGAGCAAATTCAAGTTTACACATACAGTAAGAATAAATTAAATATCTATTAATTTCGTAGTACATTTTCACTTACCTTAGCTCTCTTAAGCAACTCCTCTTGTCCAGCAGCGACCTTGTCGGTCTTGCCTTGCCAAGCACGAAGTACGGAAGCTTGGAGAGCACGTCCATAACTGAAAGTTAATGCCCAAGGTTTCTTCGCCGGGTATTTATTAATGGCATCAAGATTGACTGATGCCTCTTCTTCAGATTGACCACCGCTGAGAAAAGTGATACCAGGTACTGCTGGTGGCACCGTACGTAACAGCGCTGTCACCGTAGCAGCACCGATTTCCTGAGGAGTCGCTCTCGTTGGATAGCTCTGACCTGGCGTCACCATGTTAGGCTTTAACAGCGTTCCTTCGAGGTATACGTGATGATCTGAGAGTGCCTAACAATAAATGCATTGGAGCGTATATTAATTATCTAATAATAAATTCAGGTAAAAGGCAAAATTCACAATCTTTTTTTATCTAACGGAAGATTAAGATACCTTGTAAACGGCTGCAAGAACCTCTTCTGTAACTTGTTGACAACGGGTGAGATCGTGATCACCGTCAGGAAGAATTTCAGGCTCTACGATAGGTACGATCCTGGCACTTTGACAGATTGAAGCATAACGAGCCAACACATTGGCATTCTCCATGATGGCGAGTTTGCTCGGAGTATCTTTCGTGATCTTCAATACGCATCGCCACTTAGCGAAGTGACATCCATCCTTCTTGTACTGGATACAACGCGTCTGGAGGTCGTCGAGACCCTGGGTCGTGCATTCGTTATTTGTGCCGAAGAGCGGAACGACACCCTTGTCGACTTTAATACCGGGAATGATGTTTCGTTGCTTCAGTAACTCGACGAACGGCGTACCGTCGTCAGCCTTTTGATAGAGAGTTTCGTGAAAGAGGATCACTCCAGAAATGTGCTGTCCGATGACATCCTGAAAAGAAACAACGTCAAATATATTATACGCATATATTTTCTATACTGCAATGAAATTATGACAGAAAAATATTGCAAATATTAAAGTTTTAATAAAAATAATTAATATTTTACACTATATAAATTAAATGTTTATGCAAGTTAATGTTTGTGCAAGTTCTCTATTAATCATTATCTAGACGTACTTTTGCTGTAGTGAAAAGTAGTTGTCTGTAAGCCCTGCGATTTTCCTCAGTATTTTCGACGTTGATGTCCTGAAGACGTTTGCCAATCGTTGTAGTCGACTCATCAGCAGCCAGGATACCTCTACCAGGTGTCACGATCTGCTGCGCAATCGTGCGTAATTCTTCTTTTAGCTCGAGTTCAAGTTTGTCATACTTTTCCGCAACCATTTTCTGCAATATGCGAAGAATACTTCATTATTCAATTATATAATTGTGTCGAGTTAAGCTTTCATAAAATTAGTAAAAATTATGAATCCTCGTAATATTGCAAACTGCATTCTAATCCAATTGAAGATTGAAATAAACCGAAAAATTAATTACTTGAATTGTTAACAATCGTAACCTCCTTTCTTCTCTATCCTAAAAGTAAATAAAATATACCTACTTATATAGATCATTTGAATTACTAACTCTCATCAATTTACCAAAAAGAATTTGATTACTCGGCGATCCGTAACGCATAACTTTAATGATTTCCTTGTTCTAATTAATACGATGCATTAGAGACATCAACTACTTGTAATATTGTAAAAATTGAAAGAGATTATATCATGTAATAAAACTAAGCGATGATAATTTCTTAGAGCATTGAATTCTCATTGTCAGTATCAAATGTATTGATCACAAACTATCTCTATAGCTCAAGACTTTTACTTTTCTCGAGGACTCGGGACTAGTATTGTCATCTGTCCTTTTTTCTCTGAGCATCTAGAGAAAAAAGAATATCCGAAAGAGTTTTCCAAAGACGTCTAGGATAATTATGAGTGTCCGGGGTTTTAAGGAATCATTTAAATTTAAACGTTATTCTGCATTAATCCTGATTTATAGTAGGTGTAGTAATTCTTAAACTGTAAAGAACTGACCAATCATAGTTGAATATGAGGAGAATAATCGACTACATATATAATTGGGGTCAATTTCTTACATTAAATTAATATTACTATTGAACAATTAGATATGAAATAATTATTCGTTTAATGTTTTGATCAATTTTACTAACCGACACGTATTTTTATATACGTCCAGGGTTTCAAGTAAAATGTCCAGGATTTTGGCCTGTAAGTTCTAGTTTTAAAAATTTTGATATGACAATTCTACTCGGGATGATCAAAGCGACAGCTCGACTATAGCGTCACCGAACGTAAACAAGAACGCATCTCGATGTTATTGTTGGGCACATGCATGTGCGCGTATGTACATACGTGAAAGAATGAAAAAAATAACGGTGATAGTAATAAACGCGATGCACATTCACGCTGCAATCATAAAAGATGATCGTTGTATTATGATGCTATCGTAATAATTATACATATGGTGACCATATTTTTTTAAAGTAAATAAAGGACAAATCTGAAAATTTTAGAGCTTTGTTCTTACATGTTTTCAAAGTTTGTGTCAAGAATTTGCGCATCATAAAATTTTATTACATAATATAACCAAATTAAAATAATGTACAGTTTTCTGATAGTTTTGAAATTGATTTGATTGTATTGAAACAAACCCCTGATTTGAAATAATAAAAAGTTCGAAATAATAAACAATGAAAACAACTCTAGTTTGAATAAATTTAATTTAAAAAATTAAGAAATATAATTAACAAAAATATATTGTATTTATATATATATGAAACTGTAAAATATTTTTCGTAAAAATTTGCTCATTAATATAATATTATAGACATTGAAAGACTAGTTAGAAAAAATTTTTCCGTAGAGTCAAAATAAAGGACAGTAAAGGACAATATTGGAAAACATTTAACAGATTGAAGGACTCTTCCTATATAAAATAAATAACAATAAATAAAGGGCAAAATAAAAACACATTTTTTAAAGTATCACATAATTAAAAGGAATAAATTATAAATAGAGAAAAGTAAAATTGAAAAAATATAATAAAATAAAAACTCAGTTTAAATACAAATAAATTATAAGTTTGGAAGTAAAATATTGGAAAATAAAAGACAAAATTGAATTTTGAAAAAACAAATAAATCTGAAAGACAGTTATCTAAAAGGATTGTCCTTTACAATAAAGGACGTGCGATCATCGTAATTACATAAGTCACAATTGATGAACTTATATCATTCGTCGATATTTCGCACCACCAACGAGAAACACTACTATAATAGTAAGACGGCGGGCAATCTTTAATAATTATTGACCGTTATTAGAAAAAAAGAAAAAGAAGAGGGGGGAGAGAGGGAGAGAGAGAGAGAAAGAGAGAGAGAGACAAATTCAATAAATCGGAAATAAGAAAACGAAAGAAAGCGCGCATCGTTGACTATTGACACAGTGCACCGAGGCATAATAGGAAACGATAGTTCCCCCCGCACGGCTCAATATGTCCCTCGACTACATCTTGTCATTACGTAGCATTATTTAACGAATAAATTCACGTGCGACCTCACACGGCCGCGACTGACTGCCGCGAATCATCCGTTCGATATCCTCGATGCATCCCCGCCAATGCTAGCGCAGATATAGAGTGAGTGCACCTCGCTAGGATACTGGCTGCAGTGCAGTACTGTGATCACAAGAGCAGGGAAACGAAGAGAGATAGGATTGCAAGCGAGAATATTTAAGAGTTGACCATTATATGTATGTATTCCATATCGTCGTACATACTGGCAGAGAAGAGAGAATGAGCTAGCCGTAATACAGCTTAAGTAGTGTCCGGCGAAAGAGACGTACGTGTCCGTGGAAAGAGGCGGAAATGCGATAAATTTCCTAGATATTACCGTGTCGGTTAATGAAAATCATTGTTATTTAGATTGGTACCGTAAGCCAACGTTTTCAGGTAGATTCCTGAACTTTCATTCGAATCATCCTTTGACACAAAAAAAAGGTACCATTTTCTCGTTAGTCGACAGAGCATTTTTACTATCTGACAATAGATTTCACACTAAAAATTTGACTTTTATTATCAATATCTTACTCTTAAATGACTACCCACTCGACTTTATTTTTGACACTATGAACCAAAGAATAAAAAATTTAATTTAAAAAATTCACAACGTACATAACGTCACAACCGATAATGATGTTATGAAAGAATCTACCTCGTGGCTTACGGTCCCCTTCATTCCGTCTCACACGGAAAAATTTAGAACATTGCGCAAAAATAAAGGCGACATCAGAATAGCTTTCCACAGCCCTAATAAGATGAACAAGTACATCAGAGTCCAAAAGGACACTTGTCCTCGTACATCAAAAAGTAATGTTGTCTACAAAATTCTATGCAATGATTGCGACGCATCTTACGTCGGGCAGACGGGCAGAAAACTAAAGACTAGAATTGCGGAACACCGTAACCATATTCGATACAAAACGTCTACCCGCTTATATCCGTTATCACCGAGCATAGACTTCTTCACAATCATGATTTTCAATGGGACGATGTTCAAATCCTGGATGAAGAACCTTCTTACAGAAAGCGGCTAATCTCTGAAATGTTACATATCAAAAAACAAAAAAATAGTCTGAATCTACAAACTGACACCGAAAGTCTCCACAAAGCGTATATACCGATCATAAACAAAGTATGACTTTCGATTTTGTCGGCCCGTCTCCTCTCCTCTCTCAGTGCGTTGTGTTCCGTTTAAGCGAGCGGTCACGTCGTGAGCGACGCCGACATGTCCGGCTCTGGCATGTGCAATATTGCCGGAGTGTTACGGCTTACACATGGTTCACCTTTGCATGAGCGGGGGATCATTTTGATTTGTTCGGGTTTGTTGGTGAGTTTGTAATTTTATCATGATAACGGCGTTTTTAATTGTCAAGGTCTGTTTTTTCTTATAAATTATTTTTCGGTCTTGTCTAGCGATCTGGCTTGGACAATGGACACCTTGATTGCTCAATCGTATTTTTGAGATCCATCGGAATTTCACTTCTTTACGCTTAATGTTAATTGCGACATGAATTGTTTTTTACTTATTTTTTACTTATCGTCTAATTTTTTTTCGCGCTTTATATCTGAAGAGGGCTCAATCTCGTAGCCGAAACTTGTTATATATATTTTTATACATATTTATACATTTACACATTTATATGCGCCGTTCCGTATTTGTGCATGTATCGTCGCCTAATAATTTCAACTAATTAAATGTTTTTTTAATCTACTGACTCTTCTTTCGCCGTTTATTTGATTGTTTATTTACGTTTATAAAGTTATAGTTTATATAAGTGCATAAAAAAAATTTCTTGCGGAGAAAACATTCTTGCGATAGACCGCGCAATTAAATGCAACATCTGCAATTTTTTTCGAATCAGAGTATAAGTATTAAGTGTAGTAAAAAGAAATCTATTATTTTTCCAATAGATGGCTTTAGTAATCTGTATCTCGCGTTGTATAAGTGCGATCGGGTTATGCCAAATGGCGTTAGAAAGATAAGATTTCGTACTAAAAAAACTTCTCAGACAGTTTTGTGATTGCTTGAGTCAGTATTGTTTGAGCGCGTGTCAAAGATGGACACCAACAAAGAGAAAATTACGCCATATTTTACAGTTTTTCTTCGATAAAGGCGAAAACGCAAGCCAGGCGGCTGAAAATGTGAATAGTGTTTATGGTCCTGATACTGTAACAGTCAATATCGCGCAATTTTGGTTTCGTCGATTCCGTTCCGGTAATTTTGATGTCAAAGATGCACCACGCTCTGGAAGGCCAATTGTCGAAAATGTCGATAAAATAATGGAAATCGTCGAGTCCGACCGTCATGTAAGCACTGTTTCGATTGCCCAGGAGCTAAACATTGCACAAAAAACCGTTTGGAACCATTTAAATAAGGCTGGATACAAAAAGAAGCTCGATGTATGGGTGCCACACGAGTTAACGCAAAAAAACCTCATGGACCGAATTTCCATCTGCGAATCGCTGCTGAATCGCAACAAAATCGACCCATTTCTGAAGCGAATGGTTACTGGTGATGAAAAGTGGGTCACTTACGACAACGTCAAGCGAAAACGGTCGTGGTCGAATCGCGATGAGCCGGCGCAAACGGTGGCCAAGCCAGGATTGACGATCAGGAAGGTTTTGCTGTGTGTTTGGTGGGATTGGCAGGGAATCATCTACTATGAGCTGCTCCCCTACGGCCAAACTCTTAATTCGGACCTGTACTGTCAACAATTGGACCGTCTGAAAGAAGCAATCGCCCAGAAGCGGCCAGCTTTGGCCAA